ACATTTAAAATCTATTGTATACGCAACGTCGATTGAACATGCTGAAATACTACGAAATAGAATAGAGCAAGGCTTCCGACATATTCGAGAAACACCAGGAACGATAGAGAGAGTAACCAGATGAATGACGAAACGCGTGCAGGCTTGTCTTCTGAGCATCTTTCGTAAAAGTAATTAAAACAGAAAATTCATTATATCTCATAAACAAAGACAGATAGGACATATATTTGTACGACTTTTTTCCGATTATTTTTAGGCGTACAATCAGCTCCCGAAGTGGGTTCCACAAGTTACGAAACACCTGTACAAACGTTGAAAGAGTTTCGTCGAATAATCGTCGATCCATGTGATATTCGCAGAGCGAGGCAGTGGGCGATTCCGCTTATGGTAGTGGATGGATCGGCAGCGGTTACTGTCAGACTCTTCGGATCATGATGATGCGCGCGAGGATCCCGAACAAGATAACCGCGGCCAAATTCTACGCCATGTCACTGGAGAGTTTCTCAGCGGTGAATAAAACGAAAAGAAATGTCATTCGGCTATTTTGAAAGAGAGATTCCTGATGTTGACGAGGATATCTGTATTATTTGTTACGAGAATGAGATGGTCGTTCAAGAACGGTCAAAGTTCCTTCCTCATGGCTTCTTGTGTATTTTGCAGGTACTGAGTACGTCGTTTTCATACTTCACGGTTCTCACAGCCACCAAAGAAGAATAACGGGTCGTGCCAATGAACGTGGACGGTTCGTACGACGCGCTTTACGACCATAAGGACGGTGTTTCCTGATGACTAAACTTACAGAGAATATACTTAAGTCGTCCCGCTGGTCTAAGAATACCCGTGTAAAACAATGTGCCGTCGGTAAACTCGCGCTGTTTTTCTCGTTCGTTGCTTAAGATCGATCGTATTTAAAGGTAGTTGGAATCAACATAGAAACTTTTACAATAAACTAGAAAACAGGGGATTTTCAGTGATAATTTATTTATTTAACTAGCGTTAATCGACGGTTTATTTATCATTTCGTTATTGCTGTTCCTTGTTCCTTACATCTTTGCTTTTCCTTCATACAAGAACAAAAGGACACACGTGCGGTGTAACGCGCGCACATTGAACAGGCCATATGCTCATTGTGTTTATAATCATGATGTGTGGTCAACCAAATGTGTTTACCTAACACACGGCTCACTACAAACTTACATACGTATCGCAAGATACGGTTTCTTAATTAGCCAAAATACTACACAGCTTTATCTCAAGACGTTTACATGAAACATCGAAGCTATTTCAGGAGCAGTTAATTCAATTATAATCAGAACAAGCGTAAATGACTCAGCGCACTTGTCGTAAGAGACAATAATTCTTCGTTTCTTTGAGTAACTTGTAGCACTTTACAAGGAAGGATACGACAAGGAATGGAGTGTCCGCAGGTGTTTGGGCAAAATGTTACGAGTTCGGCCGAGTTCTCTCACTCTGGGTGGAGTAAACCATCGGCGTATGGTCTTGGAAGCGACTCGTGGATATTTTCATCGCAACAGTACGACACGTGCACCCGGCTGGCGCNCCCCTCCCCCATAAATCTTTCACCGTTGCATCGGACGATTTTCCGCGAAACCTCGTACACGTGTGTACACGCGCGTGATCCGAGGCAGAGGAATCGCGTGGCGATTTAATTGCGGGCCGACGTTACACGACAGGGCCCCCTCTCTCCGAGAGCTCATGCGTTTCTGTCCACGGCGCTGGTTAAATGCGCTCCGTCTGCGTCGGAAGATCGTCAACCGGCGTTCACTGCCTGATTCGTTCGATTAACGTCGGGGACGGCAGCCTCTGTTTCGCGGCACGATCAAAGCGATCTGTAGATCCCGTCTGACGACGACGACTGTGTACATCTCTTGCATCTGGACCACCATTTGCCCGGTTCTTTCGGCTGCTGTTCCCAGAGAACGACGACGACGCCGGCGCGCACGTGTTTAATAAGGCTGGGAACAAATTGACGCGAGTAAATCAAACGGGCCAACGCAGCCAGCTACATGTTTGTTTTTCGGAATCGTTCCGCTCGTTGGCTCGTTGGGGAGTGAAGGAAAAAGGAGGCACAGTAAACCTATTTGTCCGACACGAAGTCACAGGAATATTTGAAGCTTGACAAATGCACTGCCATATAATTCCTCGGAATGATTAACATAGAGTTTTCATAACTTGGTTCTGACGACTCGATTATAAACTCATCGATAAAATGGCCGATGCTTCAATTTTAACAAATGAAACAGGCTCGCGAGCTCCTGAGCAACTGATCTAATAAACGTGAAACGGGAACAGCCAAAAGAATGTCCAACGAAAATATAAACTAAATATTCTTTAATATTCTTGCGCTAACTAATGCTCTTTCTCGTTATCACGCGGAACACCCTTTGGGGAATCGCTTTGGCGATTTAAAAATAATACGAGAGATTGTACGAGAAGGGCAAGGTGGACTCGTCTCTCTCTCTCTCTCTCTCTCTCTCTCTCTCTCTCTCTTCGTCTCTCTCTTTTTTTTTATTTTCTGTCGTGTGCCGGGACGTTGTTAACGTTGTCGAAGACTTAATTGCTCGTTGGAGAATTCCTTTGAACTTGTACGTGCGCCGGGCTCATTGTGGCGCGGCGCGCGTCCCTTTCATAAAATTCGTCACGTTCCGGTTTATTACGATTCAATCTCGGGGAAACGCCGCGGTGACAAAAGACGCGGCACCGCGAGCAGACGAACGGAAGGAAATCCGCGGGCTCGTTCCTCTCCTACGTTTCGCTACGTGACGAAATAAACGTGTCCCCTGCCTCTGCGAACTTCTCGTTTCGTTGCGTGCCTGCGCGGAACGACGTTTGACGCGTCGAGTGCCGTGCGTACTTTGTTTACCTTTCGGATGCACAGATCCCGCGGCAAACAGAACGTGAAGATCGCAGCACGTCCCAGGTCGGAAAATTTGGTAAATTTTCAAACATACGTTCAAATATTGCCAATATTTTAAATTATTTGTATTGAAATATACAGAGAATATACGTAAAAAAATTGGTAAGAAAAAGAACGCGAGACTGGTGGGAGGAAATGTTATTAGTAGAAACGAAGTGACTGATGAAAGTTGATGAAACAGAACGCGAAGATCGCAGTACGTCCCAGGTCGGAAAATTTGGTAAATTTTCAAACATACGTTCAAATATTGCCAATATTTTAAATTATTTGTATTGAAATATACAGAGAATATACGTAAAAAAATTGGTAAGAAAAAGAACGCGAGACTGGTGGGAGGAAATGTTATTAGTAGAAACGAAGTGACTGATGAAAGTTACAACAACAGAAACCACATATTTGCCTGAAACGTTTTAATAAAACCCATTGAAATTAAAATTACCCGTTGCATTTATACGATAAATATCAATGAAACCAATATTCAGCTACTATTCTTTCCTGTGATCGTAATGTTTCTCTATTTTTAATGGATGCACAGACGAGGTACACGAATGGACCTCACGTCACAATTTTACGTATTTTGTTTCGCAATCCTCTGTGCCGCATTACCATTTTCGTGTCAAATATATATTACATTTTTCTATACCGTTATGTTCCTTCGTTGACGAAGTACCATCACGTTCGATTCAATAAATAATTCTGGGGAACAGAATAATTCTGGCAACGCTGTTTATATTTTTTAATTCCAATTCTCATCACTAGTGGCGCTGCGGTGGAAAACCTGAACGCAGCGCCACTAGTGATGAGAATTAGAGTTAAAAAATGTGAACAGCGTTGCCAGATCTGTTCCCCTAAATTATTTATTGAAACGAACGTGATGGCACTTCGTCAATAAAGGAATATAACAATTGGGATGAAAAATTAAACATATACTACTGTTATTATATTATATTACATATGATATATGATTAATGATATATGAAAAATATTAAAATTAATATATGAAGAATATGATATATGATTAATATTTCACTATCAACGTGAAAAATATAAAACTAACATACGAAAAATATGATATATGATTAATATTTCACTATCAACGTATGTTATAAAAAATTAATTGAAAAACGTGATGTTTTTGTGAACAGCATAATTAGATATGACGTGTCGAAATTTCGAAGTCGGACACATTTTTTTCATCAACGTCACGGCACTTGCGACGTTTTAACGTCCCGAAGGCCGGAATTTAGAACCAGTTTGGCACACAAATTTGCGCCATTCGACGAAACTGCGGCGCAGGAAAGAATTTTCGTGCGAATGAAATACGGAGAATACGTTTGCGTTGGACGTGGTCGCGTTGCTGCCGTTGTGCGATTTAGAATTCTCTTAACGAACGACGTCTCCTCAGAATAGAAAACCGCAGCGGGTTTCTTCGAAACTTAATGCGTTTAATGAAAATTACTTTCGTACAGAGAATGTTTCCTCCCCTCTCCCGGCGTTTAATTAGCTTTAACTTTATCCTCTCCGACGGCTGCCGGCGATTTTTCCCCGGATTTTAATCTTTCGCAGCGAGCTCGCGCACGAAACGTATGTACTAATTACGTTGGGAACAAAGCTCAAATATATCTCTATCGTAATTTCTCGCGGTGGCGAGAATAGGTAACCGATATTTGCCGTGTTCGCGGCGAACAAACAAGCTTTAACGAGGAGCGACAACTGCGCTTGTAACGCACTTGTATGAAATTTCCCGTAGGTTCTCCTTGAAGGGAGGACCGCAAGACTGGAAAATATATTTTTCTCGAGGAGAAGGCGTTTGAAGAGGAGACAAAATGAAGAATAGAAGGAAAAGCTTTTGAAACACCGGGGAGAATCGTAAGAAAGACAAATTGAAAGTTTCCAAGTTTCTATACATCAGACCATTTCAGCAAGTATATACATATATATTTATTATGATCAGGTATATTACGATTGGGGTTAGGTTAAGTTTAGATTAGGTTTGGCTCAGGTCTTTCAAACTTCTAACAAAACGCGAGAATTGATCGACAAGCGCGTTATATTATTAACTAATTATTATTTACTTTACTTAAATTATTATTTACCTTACTTAATTATAATTTACTTTACTATTTACTTTACTAAAATTATTATTTACTTTATTATTTACTTTATTATTTACTTTACTATTTACTTTACTTAAATTATTATTTACTTTACTATTTACTTTACTTTATTTTACCGAAGTTATCCACTTTATTATTATTTACTTTACTTAATTATTATTTACTTTATTATTTATATTACTTTACCAAAGTTATTTATTTAACTATAATTTACTTTACTATTTAATTTACTACAATTATTATTTACTTTACGTTACCGAAGTTATTTACTTTATTATTATTTACTTTATCAAATTATTAATTATTATTAATTATTATTCACTTTACCGAATTATTAATCATTATTAATTATTATTCACTTTACCGAATTATTAATCATTATTAATTATTATTCACTTTACCGAATTATTAATCATTATTAATTATTATTCACTTTACCGAATTATTAATCATTATTAATTATTATTCACTTTACCGAATTATTAATCATTATTAATTATTATTCACTTTACCGAATTATTAATCATTATTAATTATTATTCACTTTACCGAATTATTAATTATTATTAATTATTATTATTTGCTTTAACGAATTGTTAAATATTATTAATTATTATTCACTTTACCGAATTATTAATTATTATTAATTATTATTAATTATTATTATTTGCTTTAACGAATTGTCAATTATTATTAATTATTATTCACTTTACCGAATTATTAATTATTATTAATTATTATTCACTTTACCGAATTATTAATTATTATTAATTATTATTCACTTTACCGAATTATTAATTATTATTAATTATTATTCACTTTACCGAATTATTAATTATTATTAATTATTATTCACTTTACCGAATTATTAATTATTATTAATTATTATTCACTTTACCGAATTATTAATTATTATTATTAATTATTATTCACTTTACCGAATTATTAATTA